CAGTAAAGCTGAGGTTACACGCTGGCCCGGGGCCCTACGGCCTCACCCCGGCGCCACTAAGACGCCCGGACCCGCGTGTCTCAGAAATACGAATCCCGGGCCGAACACGCGTCCCAGAGATCCGGGCGCACTACCCTGCGGCCCACGATGCGCGATCTGGAAGGCCGGGCTAAGACCGAAAGTAGGTAGCTGGCAGGCACAGCGAGTAGAGATCCCTGCCTGCCATTGCAGTGAAAGGAAAGTACGAAAAGAACAACCTACCATCTTGGTGGCCGAGACGCAAAAGGAAAACTTATGCGAAGTCTCGCGAGGTATGGGACGCAGGGGCGGAGCAAACACATCACTTCCGGCCGGGGAGGCGGGGCCTAGGCGGTGTTGAGGATCTTAGGCGACTGAGGGTTGCGTCGGCTTTCTCTTGCCGCTGTTGTCTAGGCAATCTTGATCGCTATGGTGGCGAAGAGCCGTTCTCTGTCCAACCAGTTGTGTGCAGAGCCTCGGAGGCTGAGAGTTGTGGAAACTGACGGCGCTGTGGACCGCCTTTTTTTTGACGCCATGTCCGAAGTACCCTCCCAGGCCACCGTATCTTTCAGCTCCTCATCAGATGCCTCAGCCCTGAGCGGCCCCGCAGCCTTGCTCTGTTTTTAGTAATCAGCTCAGCCCGGTGATGGCAATTGCTTGCTTGCCCCTTCTCATTCCTGGATACTGTGAGGAGCAATGAGGCACTACTTATTTGACCCTCGTCGTATCTACTCGGTGTCTCGCTCTGCCCCCTTTGAAGTCTTTCTCTAGATTTGTGTATCACCACCCTCTGGGACTGCTGCCCCACCCTCCTGGCGGGGCACTGGGTTTTCCTTTCTCGTTGCCTTTGTGCTGTCATCCTGTTACTCGAAGGACTCAGGCCAAACACTGGAGGAAATGAAGTGGTTCCTTTATTTATGCGCGCGGACCCAGAGGAGGCAGTCTCCAAATTCTGAGTCCTGATCAGCGGGGAACAATTATATAGGGTGAGGGGCGGTCTGTCTCTTAGACTGTTACTTCTGGCGGGAAAGCAAGAAGCAGCTTACAGAAGCAAGAAGCAAAACGTTATCTCTAGCATGCAGGGGCAAGCAAGAAGCAAAGGGAAAAAAAGTCGTACAAGTCATTCCCTGGGTGCTGTGCTGTGTTTTAAAATAACTGCCAATTTCTTCTAACATTCCCCCCTTTTGATGCTATAGGCTGTTATTGGCTACTTTAGCATCACCTATAGCTGGCTGTCATCTAGGCTTCCGGACTTCAGTAAGTTTTTGTACCTATATTGGTATTGTTGGAGAGCGAGGACTTTTGCTGTGGCCCATCTAGTCACTGTGGCCTCTAGAGGCTGGATTATGGTCTGCAATATGTGGGGCCCAAAGCTTATTCCTAGGAAGATAATAATTAAGGGTCCTAGAAAGGGAAGCAGCCACTGGAGCCAGGCTTGAGAATTTATTCCCTAATTTCTCTAATTCTAACTCTTTTTTTTGGGCACAGCGGTTTATGTTCTCCCTGATTAATTTTCTTTGTTACAATCCCTAACTGATTTATATAATAGCAACATTCCTCTCCTAGGAACATACAGGTACCCCCTTTTTCCGCAGTGAGGAGGTCTAGGGCATGCCTGTTCTGAAGGGTGACTTCTGCTAGGAGTTAATCTGCTGTTGGATTGTAGTCAGCAAGTCTGCTACTTTGTCTATGTCATTATTAAGCTGGGCTGAGAGTGTATAGTAGGTGGTTGCTGAAAGTCCTAGTGCTCTGACGCCTGTGCCGACTCCTACAGCTATTCCTACCCCAGCCATGGTGGCTATAGCTGTCCCTCTCTTAACCCAGGCAGACTTTGTCTGTCCCTGCCTGAAGAGTTTCAGCATTTCTCATGGGGCCAGAATGCTTACGCTGGGGGCTAGGAAGACTTCTAGACATATCCCAGTTCACAGGGAGGCACTTGTAGGCTGCCTGCCCATGTAGGAGGAATAATCCTGGTTCTGTGCAGAGGCTGCTGTTGTTGGGGATGCTGAGCTGATTGGAGCAAATTTGGGGGTTGAGGGAACCTATTTCATTCTCGATAGGGGAGGTTTTATTAGCTATTAAACAGGTGACATTCATTTCTTTCTTATCTAGAAGAACTCTGGAAGCTACTGGGCCCTGGACTACGATCTGATTGGTCTGGAGGGACCTCCTGGTATGGTTCCAGTTTTGCAGGACTGGAGTCCGCTGTATCCTCTTTCTCGGAGAGGCAGGCATATCCAGCATCCCTGGGTAGAATTGCTAGAGTTCTGATAGGCTGAGGAGATACTCTACTAGATGTTTGACCTGTACCGCTGGGCTTATCTTTTGCAGTACTTCTTGGAAAGCAGTAAAATTGGCGCCTTGGTATTCTACTTTTGCTTGGTCGAGGCAGTTTGCTACTCCTTTTACTGCCTTTTTCCTGACTCTTTCAAATTCTTCCTGGCTTAGGCTACTTGGCTGTGGATAACCTTCAGGTTTTTTCTGGCTTAGTCTGCTCAGCTGTGGATCGTACTCCCAGCAGACCTGTCTACCTAGGGTTCCATGAGGCTTACACATCCAGCTCTGGCTGGCCATAATGCCTGTGGAGTATAGCTTGCCTCCCCAGGTGCAGGTCCCCACCCCCCTTACACAGTGTGGGGGTACCCCCCAGGTGCTTGCCATGAAATCTTTTGGTTCTGTATACATGCTTACTATGCTGCCTCCTAGTCTTATTCTTTCTCTTGGTGTGCTGCATTTGCAAACTGGGGCTGTAGCAGGGGCTGAGAAAGCTAAGCAAAACATATTAAGTATCCAGAAGTATAGACAATATAGAGGTAGGCTACCCCAAGAGCAGCCCGCTCCCCAGAACTCCATCCTGGGGGAGTTATGGTCGCTAGTCCAATTCCTAGGATTACTGCGAAGATGCCTGTGAGAGTCAGGTATCCCAAGGAAGGCAGGAATCCCAGGAAAAACGATCCATTTGCCAGAGTCCTTGCTGGTGGCTGGTGGTCTTCTCAACCTCGAGGTGGGCAGCCTCAGCGATGGTGGCTCTGGATCGTTGTCAGCCCTCTGGTCCTCGGGTCTGCTGTTGTCTTGGCTCGGCTGTAGTGGATCCAAGGCGTGATTCCTGCAAACTTAAGGGCAGTTGAGGTAGTTAAAATGACTAAATGAGGCCCTGTCCTTGTGGGTTGGAGGGGCTCCTTTTTCCAATCTTTTACCCATACATAGTTTCCAGGCTTATGTGAGTGGGCTGGCCCCCCTCCTAGACAGGGTTCTTGGCCTAATCTGGCCTGGTATATCTGGCTAAGTGTTTCCCCTAGCTTCTGGATATACCTAGTCTGCCCTGCTTCTCCAAGAACTTAAAGCTCTTCCCTAGGCAGGGTCAAGATAGCTGGTGGCCTGCCATAGACCAGCTCCAGTGGTGTGTACCCAGTGGGGTTTGGGGCATTCTGAACTCTGAACAGTGCTAATGGCCACAGGTCAGGCCAGGGTAGGTTAGTTTCTTGATGAAATTTGGCCAGTGTCTCTTTCAGAGTCCGATTCATATGTTCTACTATTCCTGAGCTCCGGGCGGTAGGCAGTGTATAATTCCCAATTTATCTTTAGTTGAGTTGCAAGATCTTGGATCACCTTGGCTCTAAAAGTGGGTCCATTGCCACTCCCTATGGTGGGAAGTCCAAACCTTGGAATTACTTCTTTGAGTAGAGCCTTTACTACTTCTCTGCTTTTCTCTGTCCAAGTGGGGAACGCTTCTACCCACCCAGAGAATGTGCAGACCATCGTGATGAAGTATTTGTATCCTTTGTTAGGTTTTACCTCCATTAAGTCTATTTGTAAATCTTCAAAAGGCTGTAGTCCTTTGTACTGGACTCCCACAGGAGTTTTTGGGTGGCCTGCTGCATTGTTCCAGGCACAGGTCAAGCACTGTGTTGAGGCTGTAGCACATAGCTTAGACATGTTGGGAAAGTAATAGTATCTCGTAAGCAAACTCTCTAGGGATGTTTTTCCCAGGTGAGTGAGGGCATGGCATTGCCTGACCAGGTTGCTGGCTTGGCCCTGTGGGATGTAGAGCCAGCCATCTGGCAGCTTCCGTATCCCAGAGGCTGTTTGTAGGCAGCCCTCTTGCACTGCCCACTTCTGCTCCTCTGGGGTGTAGTGTGGCTGATTTATATCCAGGCCTACCAGGGGTCCCTGCAGGGCCAGCAGCATGGTTGTCACCTCTGGGGTTGCTGCCGCCACTTCTGCTGCCTGGTCAGCCCTCTGGTTTCCCCTGGCTACTTCTGTTTCCTCCTTCTGGTGGCCCCTGCAGAGTATCACAGCCACTTCTTAAGGGACCCAGATTGCTTCTAATAGTTGGAGTATTTCAGCCTTATTTTTTATTTCTTTCCCTTCGGCTGTCAATAGTCCTCTCTCCCGGTAGATTGCCACATGCATGTGGAGAGTGGTAAAAGCATACCTTGAGTCAGTATATATATTGACTCTTTTCCCTTCTGCTAGTTCTAGGGCTCTGATTAATGTCCACAGTTCTGCTCTCTGGGCTGACCACCCCGCTGGCAGTGACTTGGCCTCTACTGTTTTTTGGTTTTCTATCACAGCATACCCTGCTACTTGTTTCTCCTCTATCATGTAGCTGCTCCCATCGGTATAGAATGTCAGCTCTGAATTTGTTAGGGGCTGGTCTCACAGGTCAGGCCGGCTGGCATGGATCTCCTCCATCACTTCGAGGCAGTCATAGTCAGGTCTCCCAGCTCCTCGGGGAGAAAGGTGGCTGGGTTAATCTGCCGAACAGTTTTGACTTTTATGTGGGGATTTTCATGAAGGAGGCCTTGATATTGGGTCAGTCTTGGGTTAGAGAGCCATTTGTGTCTGTCCAGCAAGGAAGCTGGTCACCACGTGTGTCACATAGACACTGATTTTTTTGTCCTAGTGTGAGCTTGTCAGCCTCCTGCAGGAGGGTGAACGCAGCTGCTACGGCCCTGAGGCAAGGTGGCCAGCCTGCTGCTACATTGTCCAGTTATTTAGATAAGTAAGCTACTGGCCATTGCCAGGGCCCAACTTGCTGGGTGAGAACGCCCAGTGCTACTTTCTCTTTTTCATGCATATGCAGATTGAAGGGTTGGCTGGGGTCTGGTAGCTCCAGTGCTCGGGCGCGACCAGGGTGGTCCTTTATCGTCTGGAAAGCTTTCTCTTGCTCAGTGTCCCAAGAGAGAGGTACCATGTCTGGTCCCTTTAATACCTGATATAAGAATTTAGCTAGGGCAGTGTATCCTGGGATCCAGATTCGGCAGAACCCAGCTGCCCCCAGGAACTCTCCGAGCCCTTTCCGAGTCATTGGGGTTGGAGGGGTTATAATTACTTTCTTTCTCTCTTGGCCTAGGACTTGCTCCCTGAGAGATGATAAACCCTAGATATTTTACCTGAGTCCAGCATATTTGTGCCTTTTTCCACAACCAGTACCCTGTCCTAGTCAGCAGTTTGAACAGCCCTGAGCAGCCGGCAAGTGCTCTCCTAGCACCGGTCTCTGGGTCTCTCTGGTCAGTGCGGCTAAAAGGAGGTCATTTACATACCGTAGTAACACCAGGTCAGTCTCCCTCCTGGTGAACGGCCTCAGGTCCCTGGCCAGGGCCTCTCCGAAGAGAGTGGGTGAGTGTTTGAAGCCTTACGGCATCTGGTCCAGGTTAACTGGGTTTTTGATGCAGTGCATGGATCCTCCCATTCAAAGGCAAAGAGCGGCCGGCTTGCCTTTGCAATCCAGAGGCAGAAAAAGGCATCTGTTAGGTCCAGACAGGTGAACCACGCGGCTCCTGGTGGGAGCTGACTGAGGAGGGTATACGGGTTTGGTACCACTGAGTGTAGCATGATCGTTGCCTCATTCACTGCCCTCAGGTCCTGGACTGGTCTATACCCACTCCCATCTGGCTTCTGTACTGGCAGAAGGGGGGTATTCCACAGGGACTGGCATGGTACGAGTATGCCTTCTCATAGATGCTTGCAGATGACTTCTGCAATGCCTATGCTGGCCTTTCTGGAGATGGAGTATTGGTGGACCTGCCTTGGGCTGGCTCCTGGTTTTAGACCTATTATTATAGGCGGATGGTTTTCTGCCAGTCCCGATGGGTTATCTTCCACCCACACTTTGGGATATTTGTCTTGCAGGTTGACTTTATCTTCTGCCTCTCCCTTCCAGTCCCCTTCAGTCTCCTGATAGAACTGATACTCTTCCTCCCAGGCGACCAAGACTGCAATGAGGCTCAAGGTGTCAACCTGTAGCTGGACTTCTCCCGCTGGATGGAAAATAACTCGGGCTCCTAGTTTTGTGAGCAAGTCCTGCCCTAGGAGCGGTACAGGGCATTCTGGTAGGTACAGGAACTCATGCTTTATCTGGTGGCCCCCAAGTTCAACAGTTTGGGCCTGGCAGAATTGTTTGGGGCTACTGGGCCGTCCCATGGCTCCAACTATGGAGATTTCACAGCCTGACAGCGGTGCAATGGGCGTAGTCACTACCGAGTGTTCTTCCCCGGTGTCTGTCATAAACGGGAGTGTTTGGCCCCTACTGTCACTTTGACCATGGGCTCATGGGGGCTGAAATTCAGTGAACTTGTTCCCACCTAGTCTGAGTTCAAGCCAGCCAGGCTGAGGACTGTAGGCACCTGTGACCCTGGTCCCTGTTGCCCAGCTATCGGCCTTCTCTTTTTCTTATTATAGGGTCACTTTTTCTTATTACAGTGCCCTTTCTCTTTGCAATAGGCGCACTGGTCTGGGTCTACATTCCAGGGTGCCTATTTCCTTTCTCAGATGGCTGTTTTCCCCCTCCTTTGGTCAGCTCTTTCTTGCTCGGTAGGGGGTTACCAAGAGCAGCTGCCACAAGAGATGCCCTCTCCCTCATCTTTTTCTGGGCCTCTTGTGCTGCCATCTCCTCCCTGGTATTGTAGACCTTGTTAGTGACCTCTATTAACTGGCTTATATTCATGCTGGCAAACCCTTCAAGTTTCTGGAGTTCCTCCATAGGAGTAGTCTGGAGCGCTGTCCATATGCTCACTTCCCATCTGCTGTTTAATCCATTACAATCTGGCTCTCAGTTCCACTATTTGAATGAAATTGCTCTTACCAAAGTTATTGATTAACCAAACACCAAATTGAATGGACTATTCCTATTCCTCATACCTCTTGTTCTTTGTTATATTTCACCCCTTCAACTTCTTTTCCTAGAGAAACCCTCCTTCCTCCTATCTTTCTGGCTATTTCTCAGTCTTCTTTTCAGGTTCTTCTTCATCCACCACTTAAAGATTCTTCAGCCTCTTATCTTTGTACCTCTTTTCACTGTACCCAATCTTCTTGGGTGAACTCATCTTGGGTGGCCTCAGTTCATATCTCTATTTCTGAGCTGCACACTCATATATTCATTTAATTTCTGGATAATATCTCAGATATTCTACAGACAAACTAGATAACACAGCCAAAGACGTCAGTCTTCCCAGCTTATATGTGCCTTCTTTGTACCTTGTCTGCCATAGCAATGTCAGGGAGAACTTTGCCTGCACTAAGGCCCTCATCACATCTCTTGGGTTCAACACCCTCATCTGATCACCCTGCCAGCATTCTAACTCTCCTCCAATCCCTCCATCCATAATACCTCTGCCACATTAATCTTCCTAAAAAAAATGACTTTCATCCTTTCACTTATTTGATCAAAAAGTTCAGTATCTCCCTGTTGCCAACAGAATATAGACTACCTGCCTTTCCAGCCTTATATTAGCTTCTTTGCTGCACAAGCTTTCTATTGCAGCCAGACTTGGTGCATCTCTTGCGCCCTTTTGCCTGTGCTTGTGCCATCTATCTTGGAGTGCTCATGCTGCTCATGTCCTGGGTCTTCCTCAGCTTTTAAGGCCCACCTTATAATATGCTTCTTTTCAGAACATTACAATGTACAGTAATAATAGCCAAATACACCTTGCAATTTACAAAAATGCATCTGTTTCAGAAGTCAACACTATCATCCCCATTTAATGAATGAGAACATTGAGACACAGAAAGTAGAGTGACTTTCCAGAGGCTATGGATGGAGAACCTAGTCTTTGGCCTCTGTCTTTCCAGATCCCCTGCTTTAGCTATTCCCTCTCTGACCTCACAGGAGTGTGGTCTTTGCCACTCCTTCAATCCTTAATCACATAGTGCCTGTGACCAGCAAAAAGGGGTCTTGAGGGTGTGAGACAAGGTCTAAGAAGAGATCATCCTCTATTGGACATCAAAACTGACCAGGAAGTGTATAATGGATGACTGAGCTAACTAGAAACTACCCTGGGGTGATGCTCTGTGAATTAAGGTAAGTTGGGCAGACCCTTGGGAATGAGAGGTATCCTGTAACTAGGGCCTGAAGCAAGGACCGAGATTGTCAGGGGAGAAGGGGACGGGAAGTAGAGTCCTGGGTGATGGGACACTATTTCTGGGTAGTTTTACCTAGTTCCTTGGTTATAGAAGAGCTACAGCCTATTTGTCAGGCCACCTGGCTGACTGGGAGGCCTCCCTGGATGGATCAGCAGTACGTGTTGTTCACCTAACACTCTTCTTATTGGTTTGGCCTCCAGGGTAGGGAGTGCCCTGGGTGCTCGGCTCTGGTTCTCGCCAGCTCCCTCTCCTTTACAAGGTAATGGTGTAGCTTAAACAAAAGGTCCATTCTGGGGTTTGTCACAGTGGGTCAGTTCCCCTGGGTTGCGCAGCTCTCAGAGAACAAACAAAGTTGAGTTCTATGTCTATAAAGTTGAGTAGCCATTAAGTGACCAGTCTCTTCCTGTCAGGCACACAGGGCATGACCCCTGAGAAGCATCCTTCTCTGTGACATCTCTTCTGAACTAGAGCATGACATTGTGACCTATGAGGTATGTGGGCTCTCCTAGAGCTAGAGAGCCAGGACCTCAGAAATACCTGTGAAATGAGCAGGAAGGAGATGGTGCCAGGCAGCAGCCTGGTGAGGCAGGTAAAGATGTACTGACCTTTTAGCTGCCCTATGCCTCTTCCCAGGTGGCCTTGTGGGCACACTGCCACTCTGAAGAGGGTCTCGATGGTTCCTCTCTCTTCCCCTCCTGACTTCATTGGCAGTCCTTCAGACAGCAGCAACAGAGTGGACAGGTTCAGCCTTGTTTTCTGGTTCTTCATCTTTAGATTTGGACATTTGGAAATACTACGTTGCTTTCCTATTTCAAGCACAGCAGGGGTGTCAAACTCAATTTCACTGGAGGCCACATCAGCCTTGTGGTTGCCTTCAAAGGGCCGAATGTAATGTTAGGACTGTATAAATATAACTACACTTAACAGTTAAGCAAGAGCTCAGCACTGCCACTGTGTAGAAACAAGGTGCCGGGCCGTATAAAACAAGGTGGAGGGCCGGATTCAGCCCGCGGGCCTTGTGTTTACCACCTATGAAGCAGAGGATTGTGACTTTAAGATGGGAAGAGCCAGAAATCCGTTCTAAGTGAGAATTAGAGAAAAACTTAAAAATCCAAATTCATTTCAGAAAGAATTTAAAAAAATTGTAATAGAAAAGGCAGTAAAACATTTAAAACAATTTTTTTGAGGACAAAACATAAGTATAAACATCTCAAATGATAACACCCTACTATGCTGTTTCATGTCTGAATATTACCTTTCAGCTCTCGTCTACGTGGAGACGTAGCTATCTGCAAAACTGATGATCATAGTATACAGATCTTTGTGTTCTGCTTTTCATTGAATACTGTGACATTTTTCGTATCACTACCCAGTCTTCGTGATTATTATTTTTAACAGCTAAAGAGTAATTTATTTTTAGCACATACTATAACTTACTAAATGTTTTCATGTTTCCTTTGCTATTACAGACACGATACACTGAATATGTGTATGTATATATAGTTTTTTCTTCTGTCAAATAACTTGTCTAGAATAAATTCCCAGGAGAGAGATTGCTGGACTACAGGGCGTGAACATTTTTGTGCTTCATGTTATGTTGCTATATATTTTTTCTAAATGGATTGTATCAATGTGTCAGCAGTGTGCATAGTTTCCAATTTCAACTACACCAGATTCGAGGGATTTTTTTATCAGTAGTTTTTGATAAATGACAATATGGCACCTAGGGGAAAATCCATAGGCCCACAGGGCTTTCTTCACCACAAAGTAAAAATAATCTAATTTGAGGATTAGGAATTTGGGGGAGTCTTTGCTTCCTGGGCTGGATAGATTTAAAAAAAAATCTCATTGTAGTGGATGGCAAGTGCATTCCTAGAAGCTTTGTTGGCAGCTAGGATGGCACCCTGCTGCCGTTGAACTCAGAATAGCAAATGTGAAGAGAGCAATTCCAGGATACTGGAGATAGCAGTTTATCCACCAGCACCAAAGAGGAGCTTAAATAATTGGGTATTAATTTCATTTCAGATGATAAAAGTAGTGGAAAGGACACAGAAACTTGGGTTTATTTCCTACCTCTGGATGATATTGAACAAATAGCATATTCTCTTTGAATCTTAATTTTCTTGTCTGTATAAAGAAAAATGGCTGGGACTCATTCATTCATTTTAGAAATATTTATTGAGTGCTTGCCATGTTCAGGCACCATCTATACGTGCCAGGCGGTGAGGGGCAGGTACAGTGGGGAACCAGAAAGGCGAAGTCCTGTTGTAGGACTGTGTCTAAAACAGCAAACAAGTAATAAATTGATGATGTATCACCATCGACACAACCTAGCATGGCGTGGACGCTGTGCCATTACCCAGTGTTTCTCCCATTGCCTCCCTGAAATGAGTCCGTTTTAGTAATTTGCTCTGTACTACCCATGTAAGCAATCTTTGAAATTCTTACTCCCAAAATGTCGTGGAATGACTCGTTCTGTCATTCCTTGGTAAGGAACAGAAACCGGGAAACATTTCCCTTCTCTTGCATCCCCGAGTGTGGGATATTAAAAGGAGGTGGTTGGTGAGAAAGCTAGTCCTATATGTGAGGTTTCCCATCCCGCAGACTTCTTTCATTTCGTCCAGGTTTCTCCATGGCTTAAAGCAGAAGTCGCAAAATAATTGCTGATATGTAATTTTTTAATTCATGCTGTTCTCTTATGCTTTTTAATTTAATTAGCTGCCAATGTTTTAAAATTTAAGTAAAAGTCTGAATTTCTGGGGTTCTGCAAAAATAAGGTTTATCAACATTGTCCCACATTCTTTTAGGTGAATATGCCTGGCTCTGTAGGTGTTTGACTTTGCTGCCCCTGGCTTAAGCACATTCTGCCACCTTCTATCCTCTCCGCTTTCCAGGTCAGGGGAAAGAGGGAGGAGAAGGAAGAACTAAGTTATGGTGAAAAGCAGCCAGAGAAGGGAGAGGAAGTGTCATTTGACCTTCCCCCATTTTCCCTAAATAACAGACTCATTGGTTGGCTGTGTCTTTAATTTACTTTATCCTCACAGAGTTATTTCTATTGCTTTTCTGAGAGAGGAATTAGATAGTTATTTCTTTATATTTTTACTCTGTGTAGAGCCCACTGGTGTTGGAAGGCCGTGCCACCTCCCCCTTTCCCAGAACTGTTCTTCTAAGTCTGATAAAGCAGCTCTCAGATTGTGGTCCATAGACCTGTGAGAGTCCTAGAGACCCTTTCAGGGGGTCCAGAAGGTCAGAACAGTTTCCATCATAATACGAAGATGTTATTTGCCCCTTATACCAGGGTGATATTTGCATTGATGGTGCCAAAGCAGAGGCCAAAGATGGTATGTAAAGCTGCTAATACAAGTCATTGTACCACTGCCGTGCATTTGCATTAAAAAGAAAAGAAACAGAAGGGAAAACCAGTTTCACTTCAGAATGTAGGAGGTGTGGCAGTAAATAATTTAGTTAACATTTCCATCCTTGAATACACGTCTTTTTACTGTTCTCTTATAGTACGGTAAGAGACTGGAAGTGTGCAAGAAGCATTTCCCCTGCTTGTGCTACTATTTGAGTCGCAAGCTGAACCAGCCTTTCTGGTGGGGGGCATAGAACGCCAGTTTTACTTGAAAGAACAACTAACAGACAAAGTGCAGTTTTCCAGGCTTGGGAATTTTGTGGACGTTTTCTCAAAAATGAAGTAAGCCTGTCATTTCAGGGGAAAAACTGGCAGTATTTGCTGCTGGTGACAAAATTTGAGTTTTCAGACAAAAAAAAAATAGAAATCTGGTAAAGTTACAGCTGCTTCTATGAGTCTGGCAACTTTCAAACAGTTGAAAGATTTTCCGTGAGATTAGAGATTAATGAGTGTGATTTTTTTGTTCTTGTATGATGAAACATGTGACTATTTGGAGTATCTGCATAAGTTGTCGAACCAGTATTTTCCAAATGACCAATGCTTGGTGTTATAAAATTATGCCTGCACAAAAGAGCAGTTCATAGTGCAAAACAGACCAGTGGAATTGAATATACCAGAAGAAGAGATGTCCATTAATGTAGTTTCAGATTCCTCATTATAACCTTTAAGAAACTACTCCTTGTCGAATTTTTGTATAGTGTCAAAGAATAATATCCACAATTGAAATATTTAAATATCCCCATTTTTTAACTGTGTAGCTGTGTGAGGCTGGATTTTCTTCACATACAATAAACAAAAAAAGTAACAGATTGACTGCAGAAGCAGGTATGGGAATCCAGCTGTCTTCTGCTGAGCTAGGCATTAATGAGGTTTGCAAAAAGGAAAAACAGTCACTCTTCTCACTAAATTTATTTTTTGAAAATTGTTCATTTTCCTAGCATGTTATTCACATCGACATGTAATAGGTTGATTGTTATTTTAATGAATTAATATTTAAAAACATCTCAGTTTTAATTTACAACATGGTAAATAGCAATAGCTATAACCCACATAAACAAAATCTCTTTGGGGTCTTCAGTAATTTAAAACTGTTCAGGGGTTCTAAAACCAACAAGTTTGATCTTCTCAAAGTCTAACAAAATAAACTCAGCCACTTAAACCTTCCAAGGGAGACTGTCCTTATGTCCACTGGGGCTGCTACTATGGTTGCTTTCTGGGAAATACCTGCCCTGAGAGCCCCATAATGAGGAAGAGGTGAAAACCTACCCGTTACTTTATTTAGTGGCGTCTTGCTGGGTCTCCAAGCAGCCTGGCCCCTCCCAGTCCCATCACCTTTTGTCTTTAGTGGGCTTGGCTCCCAGAGTCTGTGGACTGAAGTGAAAGTTCTCTCAACTAAATGCATAATCACAGAGCTCCAGATTTGAATTAAATTATGTTTGTTTTGCTTCTTAAAAAGTACAAATATAAAATTAGTTACACTCCCTTTGTTCTTATACAGTTATAAAACAACATAGTTTACAAATTATAAAAAAACCAAAACAAATTAACAATACTAACTTCATTTTCAGATGATGTGTTGCTGAAGTTCACTGCCACTGTAACTCAAAGGCAGTGGGTGCTCCCTGTTGTGGCTGAGTTTGGCAAACTTACCCCCACCCCCTACCCCAATGATCATGGCCCGTTTTCCCCACCTCCTTCGTCCATTCCAAGTATGTACTGAGACACATTCGTCATCGTGTGCCCAATGTCATTTACACTTCATGTGTCAAGAATGTATCCTTACATATTAAGCCTGCTCCTTTGTCTTCTCATTAGCCTGAGATAGCTTGGTGTGAACTAGATCCTAAACTCTTACATCTGGCATTCATGAATATGTAGATGATCCAGAATATTTATACTTTAAAAAACTCATAGCAGAATGAGACACTAATTAAAAAAATTATTGGAGAGAACTCATGAAGGCATGTGTGTGGACCTCAGCTTAAAAAACATGTCAGTAGTTAAGAGTGGAGTTTGGAATCAGACTGACCTGGGTTTGAATTTGAATTTGAACTCTGCTATTTACCATCTGTCTTTGTGCAGCTACCAAACCTCTCTGAGCCTCAGTGTCCTCAGCCTGCCCCTTGTGGTTTTATATAGTTTGTAAAAGTATCTTAATCCCTATTTCAAGGGTAGCTATGTGGATTGAGATGCAGTATATATATAAAGTACATATATTATTTATAGTGTGTGTGTGTATAATATATATTAAATGCCAGGCATAAACTTGGCATTTAATAAATTTCCTTCTCTTTTCCAAAATGAAATCTTGGATCAAGCTTGTCCATTAATAAAGAGGCACAAGTAGATCTGGGACACTTTTGAAGGCCAACAAACCCTGCAAGACTCACACAACCTAGCAGGCCCCTTCAGCCTTTATTTTCCTTAGCAAAGATGCTGGGGGTCTCTCTTTGTGCCCAAGGGAGGGGCTGAGGCTGTGACCTGCTGTAGGGCGTGAGCTCCAGGTCTGGGGAGGATGGTGGCTGGGGCTTCTGAGGCTTTGGTCTCTGAGTCCTCTCTGGCCTGTCCATGAACATCCCCTTTCCAAAAGAAATAAACCAGTCTTTTTTTTTTTTTTTAGAGAGAGAAGAGAAGCAGGCGCAGACACTGATTTGTTGTTCTACTTAGTTATGCATTCATTGGTTCATTGTTGTGTGAGCTCTGACTGGGCATCAATCCCATAACCTTGGCCTATGGGGATGATGCTCTAACCAACTGAGCTTCTTGACCAGGGACAATCACTTTGCTTTGTGCTTCCCTTACAGGGAGTGGAGCTTGCTCGCTCTACACGCTGCTTCACGCCTGAGGATATCAATGAAAAAGCCCCATCTCCAGGCGCAGGCACAGCCATGGATATGGGCTTGAGCTTTATGGAGCTGCCACTAGTTGACCAGAAACACAGGAGTGGACAGAGAGAGGCCAAGGTACTGACTTGCTCGTTGTGCCAACAGGACCTGCAGTGTGCGGGAGCCTGGCTCCTGCCCTGCCAGCATTTGCTCTGTAAGGACTGCTTTCAGGGCTTGGCGCAGGAGCTAGGGCAGGTCGCCAAGGCTCCCATGACTGTCCCAGACGGTGAGTACACAAGCAGCACAGGTTCACCTCCTTCTGTGTAACAGGTCTCTCCTGTTTCATAGGATCTGCATTTCAGGTGTAGAAAGAATGAGAATTTAAATGCCCAAGGGACACTCATAGCTGAAAGCAACTCTGTGGGGAACCTGTGAGACAAAGAAGTCCTCCTGATGCCTGATATACCTGTTTTGTGAGCTGGGGCTTTTCATGTTTGGGGTTTCCCTACATTGGTGGCAGACTAAGAACCTGGGGAAGGTTTTAATCTCAGGTTTGACCGACTCCCCAGACAGAGAGGACGAGTCTTGCGTCACCAAACTTCTGAAGCAGGGGGGATATGGACTGGGCTCGCTGGGGATGGTCAGAAACGGATTTTGAAACAGACACACTGACGAGTGAACTATTCACCAAGCCGCTGCCAGACAGGGAGGAGGAGCTTGCGTCTTGCCTTTGAATGTCAGGTTTCCTAGGAAACAGTCTGTGAGAACTGCAGAGTCCTTGGAGACGGGAACCAGGCCCCTTCGTTTCGGTGTTGCAGCACTGGGCACCTGATAGTGGTACAAAGACTATTCGCTGAATGAGCTTAATAGGATGAGAAATTCAAATAAGTTGATGGCATGTAGAAACATTATCTTCTCTGGGTGTGTCTTTGTTGGCAGTATTTTCAAGGTGATTTGTAACATAAGTGTAGGTTTTCTCTGAGGCAGTATAATTTTGCATTTGTCCTGTAATCTGAATTTGGAGCCCGTTAAGCTCTTGGGCAGGCTGCCTAACCTCTCTGTGTCTCTCTGAGAGTTCGGAGCACAGAGAACTTATGGATTTTTCCACAGAGAACTACTTCGAATTTTTAAATAAATATCTGATTTTTAAACATAACTTAAACTTTGCTCTTCCTTAAAGTTTTGGTTTTAGCTTATAAATACTATTCTGTTTATAAATGTGGCAAAATTTAACAGTCACTTTTAAGGGCCTTTCATTAATACTTGAGTATATTTACAAACTTAGTTAATATATGCTTTTATAAATTAAATGTACTGTCTTTTTTAAGTAATGCAATTGTGTAGCCAATAAGCTTACTTAAAAAGAACTCTTAGAAACCCAATAAATAAAATTTGTAAATATGGTAAATCTTAAATATATCTTAAAAGTTCTAGCACTGTTGGGTTAATATCCAGGATATATAAAGAACTCCTACATCTCGACAACTAAAAATGAACAACCCAGTTAAAAATGGCAAAGGACTTGAATAGACATTTCTCCAAACAAGATAAACAAGTGACCATTAGGCGTGTGAAAAGATTCTTAATATCACTTATCTTAGGTAAGTAGAAATAAAAACCACAATGAAATACCGCTTCACATCTATTAGCTACTACTAAAAAAAAAGAAAAAGAAAGTAATGTGTCGGTGAAGATGTGGAGAAACTGGGATCCTTGGGCACTGTTGGTGGGATTATAAAATCGTGCAGCCTCTGTGGAAAGCAGTATGGTATTTCCTAAAAAAATGTAAAAGTATGTTTACCATATGATCCACAAATTCCACTTTTAGGTATATACCCAAAACAATTAAAGTTGGGACTCAAAGAGATATTTGTACACCCATGCTCATAGTGGCATTATTTGCTATGGCCAATAGGTGGAAACAACCTGATAGGTGATTGGGTAAAAAAATGTGACATATACATACAGTCAGATATGGTCTCATTCAGCCTTAATAAGGAAGGAAATTCTGACACATAATACAGCATGAATGAATTTTTAGCACGTCATGCTAAATGAAATGAGCCAGTTAGAAAACACACACACAGGTACACTCTCTGTGGCTCAGCTTAAGACGAGGTGCCTATAGTGTTCACATTCACAGAAACAAAAAGCAGAATGGTGGTTGCCAGGGGCTGGAGGGAGGGAGAATGGGGAGTTACTGTTTAGTGGAAGAGTTTTAGTTTTGCTCATTTTAAAATCTGGTGGCTGTTTTGTTGTTGAGTTGAAGGAGTTCTTTATACATTCTGGGTATTAGTCCCTTGTCAGATGAATGATTTGTGTATGTTTTCTCCTGTTCTTTGTGGTGCCTTTTTGTTCTGTTGATAGTGCCCTTTAATGTGTAAAAGCTCTTTATGTTGATGAAGTCCAGCTTCTCTATTTTTTGTTTTGTTGCCAGCGCTTTTAGTTTCATGTCCAGGAAATCATTATCAAATGTATTGCCGTGAATGAAGCTTTTACTCTATGTTTCTAAGAGTTTTATAAGTTTTAGGTCTTATGTGTAGGTCTTTGATCTCACCTAATATTTTTAACATAAACTAATATGCATGTCTCAAGGGTTTGTTTGACTCAGAAAAATAAATTCATACTGATGACAATCACCAGAATTGTAATGTGTTTGCCAAATTTTCTAAGTGCAATGGAGACCAAAATCATAAGCTTTGTTGTCAGTATACCTGGGCATCTGAGTGTGAGTCCTAATACGCCTGCTACAAAACAGTCTTGTTATTAGGCAAACTCTCTTGCCTGTAAGATGGGGACAGTGACGGTGATAAGTAACAGGATTGCTATGAAGATTAAATGGGAACATACACATAAAACATTCTGTACTATGCTGAGGATATAGTAAGAGACCAAGAAATGTGAAAAAATACTATCACTTAGAATTTGTGAAACTGAAATGGGAAAAAAATCTGTTAAGAGCAAATAGGCTTGTTTTGGAACCAGAGAGGCAATTTCTTGAATATACGGCAGCTTATATGTTTTTGTATGTCCTATGGTCTGGCTAGGCCATTGTTGCCTTCCACATCTGCATTTATGGGTGAAGAGTGGAATGATCTTCCTCTACTACTTGGAGATATTAGGACCCTGTCATGTGTGGTATTTGTTGGTTTGTGTGCCTGTCTGCTTCACAGGTATTTGTTGACTTTTGTGTACTAGGCTCTCTAACATTTAGGGTACAGAGATGAAAAGGAATTCAAGGTCAGGGCAGATACCTACACAGATGATAATCATACTTTGTGGCAGGGATGTGAAGAGAAGATTGTTTCAAGTTCAGGCAAAGGAATGATACCTCTGGAAGATTCTTCATGCACCACCAGGACTGGTGGATACGAATTGCTTACTGAATGATTTCTAAGGGACCAAAAGAATGGTAACCGAATGAGCTATCTGATGAAATGCAGAGCTGTTACCTATCTCTGGTAAGTCTAGGAAGACACCCAATGCCTGAACTTGGATTTCTGGCCCATAATTTGGGAAGCCGTGGTTTGGGACTTTAGTTCTTTAAAAAGAGAAGCATGACCACTTTATCCATTGGAGGAGGAGGATAGACTTGCTAAAAGTTTTATCCTATTTCTGCCAATCTGGGGTCTTCAAAGGTAAAACATGGGAGAAGGTGGCAGATTGTCAGATCAGGTAAAATGCAAGTTCACTTGTCCTCAAAGCTTATGATCTGCACTGTAGCACTTTGCTCGGGGAGATTATGTGCTCACTGGAGTTACTGAACTGATGGGGAAACTCCACGGAGAATCCTTGAGGAAAGAACCAACCCTGAAGCCTGAGTCATCAGGTGCAAATCTTTAATTAATGCAGCCACAGCCTAGCTTAATTCTCCCCAGCAACTCCATCATACTAGGAAATGGGACTGCATCAGGTCTAGGGCTCTGAGGAGACCCTCTGGGCAAGGTCTTCCAAAGCTAATGATGGGAACCAGAGCAAAGGCAGTAGTGCGCTGAGCACATGCAGTGGGCTATCTGGAGCTGGAGGCTCTGCACAGAAAGGCTGGATATCGGAAAGGGATTTACTCAATCAGTGAGAATACCTACTTGGGACTATTTAATTTTAAACTTAATTGAAATGGTCCCAGGTCAAATTCTGTCTGGAAAGTTGGCCATTGAGTCCCAAAGTGATACTTGAAATAAATGTTACAAGCTCTGGAGGGAGCTGGCCGGCCTGAAACTGACATTTACTAAGTGCTAGATCTGTTTTCAAAATTCTCAGGGTGCCTGTGGCTGTATTTGCTGTTTCAGGGGAGAAACAGCAATTAACTGGGTATTTCCTTCCCCACAAAAGTAAAAGGAACGTTATTCTTTCTCTTCAAATCTACTAAAAGACAAATCCTAGCTTGGAGACTTTGATTCTGAAATCAGAATGCAAGAATCTACTTGTTTGAGTTAGTTTTGCTGTCGTCAGTGAGGGCGATAAGTAAAGATGGGGACAGAGCCTGGCAGTCACAGCCCCCGGAGCTCTATCTGAACTTGAGCACTAACTGGCAGGGAGATTCTGGGCCTTTTCTGGCTTTCAGGGCTGCACTTGAAGAGCTCTAAGAACACAAGTAAACGCCATAGCTTCATGCTTTCTGAAGCCAGTGACAGGTGACAGCGTGTCCCTTGTAAATTACAAATGCTGAAAGGAGGAGCAATCTCTGTTCCTCAGTGGGCAGGTGTTGGGGCTTTGGGAAGATCCAAAGAGAGTTAATGATGCAAGATACTACAACCTCAGAGTCAGCTTGGGACATGAGGCATATCTTAATGAGCAGCTCAGCTGGAGGGGCTCTAATGGCCTGGGGAGAGGGTGGGAGGTGGGTGCGGGTGAGATCTCAGGTGCAGGCTGGCCTGGCAAGCAAAGCGACTGCTTTTTGCTTGTTCCAGGTGCTAAAGAGTGTTCAACGTTGTGGGGCCTGTTGTGGGTAGTGACCCAAGTCCCCCAGGCGGAGGTCAGGCTGCTGAGCTGGGCTGAGTGGGGTATGCAGCAGGTGCAGGAGCTAGAGCTCTGGAACCTTGTCTGCAGGATGGCTTCTTAGTTCAACAGTTTCCTCAACTTAATTGGCCCTCTAGGGCACTGTGAGTAGCAATGTGCACCTCAGAACAGTGCTCGTTACTGGGAGATCAGTTCCCCTGCTAACAAAGTAGGCGGGCTGTGTTTGGGGGGAAGGCTATAGCTAGAACAGAATTGCTGAGGGAGGGAATTCTTGGTAGCTTTGACTGAAGGACAGGTCGTGGCAGGGTCTATAGTTTGCTGGTACTC